ATTTGTAGAGCCGAGAAACTCATTAAATCTTGCCAAAGCAGCCTCGAGATTGTCTGTGGAACAATATTGATATCTATGTTAATTACATCTGAGATATATCAGGAAGTAAATTATTACTATTATTATTATTATTTTTTTTTATTAGGAAAATAGAAATGTTTTATCACAGATTTCTCCCGCACTAGCAGAAATAATTTTATAAAAATTTTAATAAATGTAAATCACAATTTTGCAAACTTTAAATCATCAAAATAAACCAGTTCTTTAACTATCCCCTTTTTCCAGCTGGTGAGTCACAAACTCTGGCTCTCTTTCCCTGAAAGCGGACACTCACAAATTTTAAATTTTAACTATAGCGATATTTTTCAATGACACCCGCTGACCGTACATTGTGGTGTCGCGTCCAAAACTGGAGGGAGTCACGTGATCGTGTTGGTGTGACACATGATGACAGATTGCAAGATCCCTTCGAACAGTGCACGTTGACTTTGTCGTGGGAATGGCCTCACAGTCTACAACTAGTTTTTGACTTGAAGATGTTACGGTAACTTAGATGTTGTAAAGGAAATTCCGTTACTTACTTCATAGCTCTTTTTGCACGATCATGCGGCTGCAACACGTAGGTGTGAAAGAATATTGCGTCGAACTCAAAACATGATCCTCGTTAGTTTCGAAATCTATTTTGTAGCTATTTGAAATATCTTTGTAACGATTATTTCTAATTTTTTCTCGACTCTTTATATCCTAAATGTAGGTTTAATTCCGTGAAGCTATGGAAGAGATTCCATGGAATGCTTGCAGCTGGAAAATTATCACACCAGAAATACATCATCGTATTTCAAGATTGCGTCTTAAAGGTTTGCGAACCATTTCATTACGTTAGTAGTGTTAAAGTTTCAAAGCCTACTGCTTTTCTACTGCATTATTCAGACAAAGCTTCCTTTCCTTTAAGGTGTTTTAATGATCTTACGTGAGCGTCACAAACCAAATGCAACCCTTCGAATTTGTCGAAACAGTCTCAATTATTAGATTATTTGTCATCGACGTACATGTTCGCGAGGTCAGGTTTGTGAGAAAGGTGAACAAAAGGTGTTGACGGTCCGTTTGTTTCGTTCACCGTGCAGTTAGATATTTTATCGTTTCATAGTTTGATATGGAGGTTGTTTTCACGATCACAGAACTTAGTCGAAAATAAATCCCACTCAAGCATGATTGCACCCTGCCACACAGTGACAATGATGTCAGAAAATCGTACTACTTCGTTGCAAGAAGTCAGCTTTGCTTTTGTAAAGAATTACCTATAACCTCAATTTTTAAACTGTCGGCCGTTCCATTCTGTTTTTGCAATAACATAACTTTTTGCGGGAAAATCCGCCATTTTTAACAAATGATGGTCGCTTTGCCAACGCATAGATGTAAGTTCGCCAACGTCCTAAATAGAGCTTTTAGTTAAAAATAATCGTCAAATAAATGACTTGGAATTTACCTGAATGATTCAGACAGTTGATGTTGCGTCTTTCCGGATTCTGTTACAGACCGCCATATTTGTTATTGAACCTTTTCAACTACATTAAATTATTGTTGCTCGTTTTCATTTGCAAACTTGGTGGTATCTTAAGGAGCTGTTTTTTACATGTCTACATGATAGTACACATGATCCAACTTACCTATCTATCATGACCATGTGCAGCTTGATGTAGGATAAGCTGATGTGGATATTCTATACTATCTTAAATGGCTACAAATTATACCATAAAAAAAATTAATCAAAAAATGAATAAATAATAAGTAAGGGATAATGATCAGTTCTATCATAAAAATACTCCACATGCATCCATAAAATGTAACAGAGTTTAAAGTAAAAAAAATTATGATTGTTTGTGTTTGTCACTGTGGGGCTGCATCTTAAAGATATTCCATCAATGGTTTTTTAGATGTCATGTTGGGTTCACTTTAAAAGAAGCAAAAGAACGTATGGGTTTGCTCTCTACTGATAAAGTAAGTTGCAATTCAAACTTACATTACACTCATGAAATACATTTCTCTGTGATGGTGTGTGTGAATTGGTAAGAGGAAGCTTAGAAGCAGTACTTGAAAGATCTAACACTGGGTATAATGAGAAAGAAACTCTTAGAAAGAATTTTTAGATTTCTTAATCAAATCTTAGCCAGTATTGAGCACTGCAAGATCATCCAAGAGCTCATAAGGTTAAAATGAGATTCACAAGATGAACTTTAACATGTTTTATATACAATGAGTGATTCAATTTAACAATAACCATAGACTTTTAGGGAAGTTAATATGAGCAATATTTAAGAAACTTTAGCATTTGGAAGATTGTCATTTCAAGAGATGGAGGAGCTAATAAATGCAGTAAGTTTTGGAATGTTAAATGTTAGCTTCCAAGAATGCAAATGCATTCATATAAATGTGCCAGTAAGCAGAGCAATAGAGCAACTCATATTAATTACTAAGAAAGAACTAAAGTACCTATTGTGACTTAACTGAACTTTCACCTGCAGTGGAGAACTTAACTAGATGGACAAGTCTGCTAATTTAACATTACTTTTGCCAAGTAGGCTTAAGCTTTATTGCAATTATAATACAAGACTGTCTCTCTATGGATGTACTATGTTTCTAATTTAGAAGCACATCACCTGGAGCAAAAGGTGATGTTTCCTTAAGAAGATTACTAAATAGAAACCTGTTTTGGGAATGGAAATGCAACATTCTAACACCTTCAATGAGAATAAAAACCACAAAGAATGTCATTAACCTAAAGAAATAACACTCTTGGGAAAGTGGCCATATCAGATTGTCTGCAAAAGTACTAAATCAGTGACACTGAGGTAGACAAAAGGAGTTGCAAATACAGGAGATTGGAGAGGCTGTCTTTCTTCCAACAATATAAAAATGATAAAAATGACTGCCTCTAGCCTCACGTCTCTTATTTGGTATCTGTTATATCATAAGAACAACCAAAACAACAAACACTGGTTGCAAATGCCTTTTGCAACTACAAAGATCTGACAGAATTTTCAAATTTTAAATATAAAACATACTGTAAGTGGAGTTTTGCGGAAGTTCTTTTACGTTGCTTGTATCACTTAATGTACACCCCCTTACTTTAACTCTTTAACATTGAAAACCAAGAATAGTTTGAATCTTTATCTATAATTGAAGCTATAATCGTAAGGAAATCATATCTACTAACTTGAACTTGTGTTCAATCTTACTCTAGTATCATTCAAGCACTGTTATATTCATTTCTATCAGATTTTCTAAAGAGTTTTATATGCAACAACAGGAAATGTTTACTTTGTACATGGGGTTGTTTCTTGCTTAGAAGCCAAATATTTGATCAGGAGCAGGGGTACTGGACTTGTGTAACTTTTTCCTTTTATCACAAATTTCTCAATATTGTAGTATGTTTTCTCCTGTGGGGAACTGAAGTTGACATAACTACAGATTTGCAGTGGAGTGAAGATTCCCTGTTGGTTAAGAGGTCTCTTATCAAAGAAAGTTTAATGCCACCCAACAGAGAGAAATATAGTTTTATGCCTAGGAGCAAAAATAGCTCTTACAGGAGCCACCAAAATTGCATAAGCAATGATTGAAGTGGGCCCCCAAACACAAATGGTTTCCTGAAACATGGGTTTTGACAGACAGGTGTGATACCTACTGGAAATCTTTATATATGAAGCACCTCAGTCATACTGAGTACCTTAAGTCAAATTTGTCAATATCAAATATTCTCTTTTGTCCACAGTCAAAATGATACATTGTTTTAAGTGGCCTTTATTCATGAAAGGAGAGCTGATGGCAGATGGTGCTTCAGTTTTTACTTGATGTTTTTCTGAACTGGTGTGTATTATTCTGTACCTTCTTCTTGATAGAGGTGGCAGAGTCTTTTCCAAACTCATCTAACATTTCATAATTGTGGTGGAAGCTCATGTAGTTACTTTGAGGGAATCCAGTTGACAAAGAAAGGCTTGGTATCAATCAGCCTCTGATGAGACTTCATAGGCACTTGTGGCAAGCACAAGCTTGAAGGCCTTGCCAAATTTCAAAATCTGCACAATACTCTCTTTCCAATAACTTGGTTTGAAAAGAAAATGTTCCATCAATTTGTGGGCATCTTGGTTGGGATACACCTATATGTGTGCATGAAAGAGTCATGTAGCTATAAAAAACATAATTATATATAAGGCAAGATCTGGGAAACTATATTTGCCAAGACTATAATGGAAAAATGTAGATGACTGGATTTTTTTTAAAATCAAATGCTAATTGGGTATCAATTTTGGTGACAATAGATGGGTAAAATTAATTATTAAAAGTGACAAGATATATTACCTCTGTCAATGCAGGATGAAGACTACAATAAACTCTCATAATGAATTGATTGTAGATTAATAGAGTACTTTAAAAAATTATGTGCAAACTGATTGATGCTCAAGTTATTCCTAAATGATACAAAATGATAGTAGTTATCAACTGCATTGCTGTTATACATGGAAAGGTGTTCTTGAGCAAGAGTGCTGCAGACTTGCACAGAGATGACTGCAAAATTTCACTGTTTCTCTTGCCCTTTCTAAAGTTACCTGTCCATGGTACAGCTCTAAATAAGAAGACTTTAGGCTCAAGTTCTCAATTGATCATCCTTAATAATCCAGCAATTAAAAACTCAGACAACTTACATTCTGTAAAGAACAAACAGCAATACACTCCCAAGTGACTTATAAATCACCTTGTAGTGAACTTGCACAGACACTGTCGGTGGAGTATTGTTAGCTTGGTTTATGGACCTGTGGCTCTTCACACCTCCTTTTATGGGCCTGGCAAAGTTATCAAATTTGCTCCCCCTTCAATTTCAGTGGAATTAAAATATATGGGAATAAGTAATTAATAAATAATCATCTGCTACACCATTTCATCCTTAAATTGAACCAACATTTCCTAAACTCGAGAAACACTTTAAGAATCTTTGTCTTTTTTTTTTTCTTTTCGATGTTGTCCACCTCAACTTTGTTTCTCTGAGAGATAGCTGCCTCAGAAAGACCATCTCTAACAGCTCTACTGTAGTCTCTGGCTCAAGGTCCTAAGGTGTCATACCAACATACCAATATTGAATACCAAATACCAGATTGACAGTATTTTCTTCCATGCTTGACTTTATTCTTATAATTTGTATGGCATAACAAGGAGGTGCTTAAGTATTTAAGTAGGGTTGCATTTTACATGACAGCACTGGCGATCCAACTTACCCATCTATCATGACCATGCACAGCTTGACACAGGATAAGCTGATGTAGACATTCTATATTATGCTAAATAGTTACAAATTACGCCAGGAAAAATATTTTAAAAGATTTAAAAAAATTAATGAATATTGAATATAGGATAATGATCACCTCTGTAATAAGAATACTACATAAATCTGTAAAAAGTAACTATATAGGTTAAAGTAAACAAAGTTATAACTGTGTTTGTTTCTATGGAACTGCATCCAGAAGAACAAATAGTTCCACATGCATATGTATTTTGGACAAGTATGTGTTCCAGAAAATTGGTGCTTGTGAAAAAATTATCAATATAAAAGGTGGTGGTTCTCTTTCAGAGTTTGAAAAGTGTGAATAGTAGGTCTGTTCTTCTGGGTGGTTCTCCACCAATATGTTGCGAATGCCTGCATTTCTAATGAAGGGGTCCTAATACCAGGGTATGGCAATTCCTGAAACTTTGTTAAGCCTTTAAAAATGAAAATGCTGAAGTACGCTTTCATCTTTCTTTTCATTCTGTCCCTCCACTTTCCAGGATGCAGCGTATTGGCTAGCTTCTCACGAGCATACATAAATATATCTTTTTTTTGCATCACAATTTTGTCATTAACAGAGTACCCAAACATTTTGTTAAAGAAGTCCACTTGCAAGGGGCTTTCAGATTGTCAAATTTCATTCTCTGTTGGCCCTTAAGTTCATCAGTCTCCATACTCTCTGGTATCCAAGTCATGTCCCTCTCATTCTCACATTTATGGTGCTCTTTCTTCTTTTCACCTTACTGAATGTAAATATCAGAACCATCAGAACTTTAATTATTGCTTTCCTTGTGAAAACTTTCAAATATCTGGTTGAACAATTGCAACTATTGAGAGCAGGTTCTGCCATGATTACAACAGGGCAAAGCAGTAGTCGATCTTAAGTTACTCCACAATCTACACAGGATTGATAATCATGGGCACAGTTGGGTGGATTTGACTGGTCAATATCTCTTAAACTAAAGCAGAACAATGAAGAAAAATAAAACCATCCACCTGGGATGAGACAGACATCTTAAAATAGTCCTATTCTGATGGCCACTTTTGGCCACTCAGGAACTCAACAGCATTTCTGGTCAGCCGCTTTAGTTGGGTGCTATACAAGTATTTGTGTTACTAACAAGGGACCTAGAAGAGTCATTACTGATTGCTTTGGCCTAAAATGAATCTGAATGTCAAAGGTGTTAATCTTGGTATTCTTTTACTTCACTGTTGGCTATTTTTCTTCTGTAATTGTGTTTTAGATTCAAGTATAGATGGATCAAAATGCAGCTTATAGGGAATTGTGACAATAAAAGGGGGAAACTATTTGTTCTGGTTTCAATGGACTAATCTTCAACCATGCCTGTGTTTTTGTTTAGATAAGAGCAAGTGGAGAGAAAATTGTTCATATTACCCTTATTGCCTACCTGGAGTTGTGCTGGCCTATCAACATTTTTTACCAGACATTAAGAAAGGATTCACAATTGGGTATCCCTTCCTTACCTGCATTTACCTGGTCCCGTAGTTCAACCTTTCTAGTTTGGTAAACCGGGTCTTTTCAGAGCCCACACTTCTTCAATGATCTCTAGCATGTGTTGTAATCTCTTTGAGGTAGCACATAATTTTGGATGTGAGCTTCCCGATAGCCATGGTATTTGCAGCTGTTGGTCATGATACACGGCATTTGCTGACAATGAACACACATTTCCACATCGTCTCCTTCTGCATCTGCTATTGTGGAGACAAAGTTTAATAACTTTTAGAGCAAAAGCGCAGCTGAATGGTTGTGAAGTCTGATATGATCATGTACTTGAAAGATCTAAAACTGGGATAATGATAACAAAACTCTCAGAGAGAATTTCCAGAGTCATTTAGCTATTAAAAAAACAATTAGTTGTACAGTAGAATCTTAGACACAATATTCACCAATATTTTGAGGGAACAATTTAGATGACTTTTCAGTGAGAAAGTTTAGTGAAAAAATGCCCAATCAAATGCTAATTGGGTATCAATTTTGGTGATGATGGATGGGTAATATTAACTATTATTAACTACTTAACCTCTGTCAATGCTGGATGAAGACTAAAGTGATCTCTCTTCTTGAATCGATAGAAGGATGTTTAAAGTTTCTGTTGAGGGTAGCTTTTTGTATCCACTCTCATGTTGGGATAAGCATTTCTTTCGCTCCATGTATCCAGTAAGTTGGTTCAGGGCGGCTTGTTCTCATACTTTGGAAAATACAAGTAATAGGGACATGGGGCGATTGTTGTTTGGTACCTCGGGTGCTTTCAGTTTGAGAACTGATTAAGCTAAGACTTAAGACTAGCTAAGAAACAGAGAGATGTTAAAAATTTAAAGCTAAATGCAAATAGGAAATAAATATTGAATACTACAGGGCTCATAAGCCCTTCAACTAGGAATACTAATCAGTGAAGAAAATTAAAATTAAATTTATAAAATGAATTTGAGAAAATGTATACTGTACGAAAATAAATAAATCAAATTAAAAAATATCTATTTTTGTGAAATGAATATCAAACTAAAATCGTCAAACTGGTAAATCAACAGAGGAAGATGCAGTAGCCACAGCCCTATACTCAGTCAAACAAAAATAAAAGTATTGTGTCAGTGATCATAGCACTTGGTTGGACACTCACCACATCTGCCTTGTAAATTTGAAGACCAGAAAGTTCAACATTATCTGGAGTAGATGTAGCAGAATTTCCCACTTGCGTTGCTGAGAATTCCGCACACGCTGGTTCAGTAATC